GAAAGGGGTTCAAATCCCCTAATTGGAGAAGGTTGATTTTCACATCATCTGATTTGTAGTAGATAGAGGTTAATTACTGGCTATAAGTAATATGGTAACTGATAGAATTTGCACAACAGGTAGACTTTCATATAACTAGTGATACTTAATTGGTGGTTCTTATATATGCTTGGTATGTATATATGTTATTGTGCCTATATAGCGATTGACCCACTAATCACTAGTGCTAGGTGCTTCTTGTTTGTCATTGAATGATCTGTTTATAAAGGAAAATAATGATAAATCTTTTGATACATTTTTTGATTCAATACACCTTTCTGACACTCACTTGATTGAGCCATTAAAATATGACGTAAGTAAATATAATATAAATATAATCAATTCAACTAGTTCTTGTATGCTGTAATTTGTTTATTTTTAATTTCAAATTAGAAAATAATGTTTTTTATAATAAGTATGTTGTGTAATATATTGAATTGAAGAGTGTAACAATCAATATCTGTTTACGAGTGTTTATCACCTTATATTAGATATAGGGATAATGTAGGATATGTCATCCTCCTAATTTTTTTTTTCTGAGAATATGTCTAAAAATCTACCTTCTAATTAATATTTTTAAAAACCAACCAGTTGGATTAAAAGTTCTATCAATGTAGATCATGCATATCAATTTTTATATTGATCTAACACTTATAACTATTTGATAAAAAAAACTTTATTTATTGACATGTATTTAATGGTGTTAAATTTTTTATAATTAATGAGGTGGTTAGACTTACTAGAACAATTTGAAAATTAACATATATGATTTATATGAATAAAATTTTCAATCAAATAGTTAGTTTTTGAAAATATTAATTAGAATATAAGTTTTTAAATAGTTCCTCCAAAAAAATTTTAAGAGAATAATCTATAAAATACTTTTCCCATTAAATATTTAGATGACATAGGTACAACTCTTGTTGCCTAAGTGAGTTGCTATATAGAAATTATAATTGTTGTAATCTTTATTTTTCTATCTATTATTGAATTTACATAATTTATTATTAAAAAAACGTTTGGGAATGGTAATTATTTATTATTCTTCTAAATTGGTGGTTCATAACCTTAATCATAAAAAATAGAGTACATGTTTAGAGGTCATGGTTATGTACACAAATAGTTTTTTTTCGTCAAAATATCTTTAGCGAGGAGATATAGGGGGTAACTGAAACCCATATTTATTAATCGTGTATGGACTCATCAAGCTCATATTTCCAAAGCACATCAAACTAGCTACTTGAGTTCTATTTCAGATCAAGATTAATGCAAAAGGCTACGACATCCTTGGTAATTAACCAGCCATGAAGCTCAAATGTCCACACAAATAATTGTTCAAGTCACCCAAAAACATAATAAGTGTGTTTTGGTTTGGCTATTAAGAGCAACTCATAGTTGTAATGCTTAACTTGATAACTGATAGAATAATTAATATTTATTAGTTAATTGTTTAAAATCAGTTTATAAACTACTCCCTTTGTTTATTTTTGATAGACTTAGTTTGATTTTTTGACTTTTTAAACATAAATTTTAAATGAAAATTTAATATATTAAATAAATAATAATTGAAAATTCTTTTGATCAAATAAAAATACTTAGGAAGAACTTAAAATTCATATCTAAAAAATAAAAAGTCAAACTATATCTACTAAAAATGAACGAATGGTGTAATGTTTTCAACTACCTTAACTAGCTATATACTAATAAAATCAAACAAATTAAATACACTTACAATATTTTGTGTAGCTTTAACAATTATTTATGTGGTTATATACAACCATAGCCATGTTTAGTGTCTTGGTCTTTGCTGTCCATATCCAAGTTAATTTGGTCACACATAGCCAAGTTTAGGGTCTTGGTCGTTGCTATCCTTATTGTCATGTCCCAAAACCCAAATTCGAGGCGCGACAGACGCTGTGCACTCGTGAGACGGATCCCATAAATGCACAAAGCTCGAAACTTATCAAATTCACACTCTAAGACCATCAAAATCTGAAGATCAAATTATAAAATTCTCTCTGATATCATAAAATCTCCAAATACACTTTAGTTCACAAGATCATGATTTATTTCTAAAATCTATATCAATCTCGAAATGGATAGCTTTCTAACTCGTCACTTCCCGTGGTTTCCTGTCCTCGGTTTCGGTTCCTGAAATGGTGGACAAGGAAAAACTATGAGATAAACTCAGTAAGTAAATATGGAGTGCCCCTTATCAAACTTAAAGCATGCCAACAAGTACAATCATGAAAACAGATACAGTACGGGCATGAAATAGACATCTCCTCTATAGGTCACGGCCAGTGTATAATCCCCACTAGCAGGGCCACGATTTGCTGGTGTATAACCCCCACTAGCTGGGTTGAACGAACCGGCTCTCTCACTAACATATCGACATGTGCTAGCGTTTGTAACCTCCCCCATTAGCGGGGTCACGAATAACATATCGACATGTGCCGACATGTGCTAGTGTTTATAACCTCCCCCACTAGCAGGGTCACGAATAACATGACCACATCGGAGACAAAACAGGCAGAAGTTAACAGGAAAATCACAATTCACTATCACTTTCAGATCATCAGGACAGTCACTTAAATTTCAAGTAGGCATGCTCAATTTCATGAAAAGCACAAAACATTTCACTTCAAATCAGTCATGCTTGTGTAAAACGGGTTTAGTCCCGCCACCACTTCAAAAAAAAATCAAAACATGCTTTTAAAACAGTACGGGCATTACCATAAATTTACTTACCTCACTCTGCAAAACCGAGCACTCAATTCACATACTAACTGACAGAACGATCAAGAACCTAATCAACAATTCGAGAATCAATACCATACTATCACAAATTCAAGGTAAACTCATCATTAGGATCATTCCTAATCACAATGCTATTTCCATAAATCTCCACATGATCAAATATCTCCAAATTCGTTCTTATATCACAAACTAATCACTTAAATCCCCGTTAATTGTTGGTCCTCGGGGTGTGAACAGTGCCCGTGAACAGTACCCTGACGTGAACAGTAACCCAGACTTCCACAAATTGGCCAAAACAGTAGCTAATCTCACGGGATTTTCTCCAAAAATCACAACAAGCAATTAACACTCAATCACATAAATTCCACTTGAATCAATGCTTAAATCTCATCCTAAAGCTACTGAAATTATCCCCCATTTTTAGCCAAATTCGGACACACAAGGCAGCAAACTGAATGGATAATTTAAGCCTTAAATGGCTATCACATACCAGAATTTACAAGCAAGGAACCAGAGCTAGCAGATTGGGGAAGGCCGGCGGGATCTGCAGGGGGAAGCTCACGGAACTACCCAAAATTGAAGGAAATAAGAGCAATTAAAGTTAACACAAGCCAATTCAAGCAAGAACAAAGGAATTAGGGGCTGTTCTTACCGAAAAAAATGCCCAGAAATCACCCACAATCAAGAGCAGCCAGCGGACAGAGCAAAGCAGAGTAGATCCGGTTTCTGCAGAGAGGGAGGGAAGATTTCTGGGTTCTAGGTGTGTTCTAGAGCAAGAAAGGAAGGAGAAAACCAAGCTTATCTCACCGGTTTCTCAAAGGCATGGCTGGGTTCTCTTT